GCATCAGAACCATGTGCTTAATTCACATAGTCCATCTTTATCTTCCAATTAACTTGCTGTTGACACGAGAGTTAATTGAATTATAAAGCACAAGTATAATAAACTGTACATGCTCTGATCCTCAGGCTAAAGGGTGGCTGTTACATTTTGATAATTTATCTTATATTTTGTCTAGAAAAACCCATTGGAAAGAATCTTATGTTCTGTCCAAAAAATCCCATAACTTCAAACTCTCAAGGTTTTCAGTTACTTGGTCTCTATCACTACTTACTTTAAAAACACTAATCATAGTTCCCTGTGGATTCGATTTCGGACTTAACCTGATTATTACTACAGATTGACCGCCTGCACTTGAGTGTACATATTTTAGATCAAGTCACGGTCCACTAAGCAAGTGGATTATGGGTTGCAAGAAGGTGAGGTGACATATCTCTCCGCCTTGGTGGAAAACAAACCTAGTATTAATGTGGAAATGCCCAGTTTGGTGATAAAAAATTTAGAGAATTGTGTTGAGACTATGCCTCCAAAACTCCCCAAGACTCTTATGCTCGGATGTGGAGTTGACCACAAAAATAAGCTAGAGCGTGGTGCAAAGCTCCAGCCCATGTCCCTTATCAGAATTTGGCCACTAGAAAACAACAATCACTTACCTATGCATGGGTCAGATAGAGGACTAGATGTTTTGCTACATATGGGGTTCCTTGTTCCCAACAAGGATTGTTTGACAAGGCAAAGGATAGCTTGGGTAAGGTTGCCCGTCAAAGGAAGAAGATTGCTGATCCTGATCAGATCAAGGGGAATCAGGACAACCTCTCGACGTGGGTGTCAAGCTGTTCTGGTAGGATTGGTTTGTTACCCCCTTAACTTTTGGCTTGACATTGACATGGGGCTGCCTCGCCCAAAGGCATCCATGCCTTAGCCAAATTGGGTTTTGCTTGGTGAAGCAAAGCCTTGGTGCAAACTTGGCTTCCTAAAGGACTTGGACTTGTATTTTTTTGGGTTACAAAGTGGTTTGACAAAGGCTCAAGTGACATGCAACGACTATGCCCCAAGCTCAAGTCATTATGACTCCTTGGCTCAGAGTACGCCTATTGCTGCCAATGGATTTTTGCTCACTAACACTATTATATGGGGGTGCTCTGCGAAGGGCTGCTAGGCTAGCTTCGCCAGGGACCCCTATGTCCCTGAGACTTGGCACACAAAAGCAAGGTACGTCCCCAACAAATGCTTGTCATGGGTGGAGGCAAAGTATTCCAAAGTTCCAGACCCGAGATGCGGGGTCAATGATCGGAGGGACCCGTTGATGGCGAAAGCCCTATACATGGCTAACGGAGACAGTGCATGCATGGGCATGTTGGGCATGACTAGTGGGTTAATTGAAGCCTCACACATAGTTTAGGGACGTAGCTCATGCATGGGCACATTGGATACAATCAGGGGGTTGATTGAAGTCTCATGCATAGATGAGGGAGACAACTCATGTATTGGCACAATCGGGCATAACCAGTAGGTTGATTAAAGATCCATGGAAGGCTGTGGGAGGTAGCTCATGCTTGGGCACGTTGGACACAAGTAAGCATGCAAGCAAGGCTAGCTGGTGGGCTTAAATTGTGGGGCAATGCTAACTTGAAAGACCAAGCCATGGGCTAGGCATGGCTAGGCACGAAGACAAGGCAAATCAGGTGTTGTAGGCTTGCAAGGAAGGCATGTGTATAACATGTGAGGCAGTTGCGAACAGTTTAGGTATGTGCACTATAGATGGTGGCAGTTCTAGACGGTTGCTGCATGTGCATGGCATGTAGGGCAGTTCTATGCAATTGCTAGCATGTACATTGCATGAGGGAGATACTAGCATGTACACTCAACATGCACATCAGTTGTGGGCAGTTGCTAGCTGGGTCAACCAATAGTTACAACTACCCCTTGCCATGATCGGTATATGTGGGAGTGGCAGAGGGACGCAACCATGGTCAACAAGTTGTGGGTGGTTTTGTGGGCGAATCTAATGTTGCTTGCATTGCCTAGGCAGTTGGGCTTGTAATTGCTAATTTTTATGCTATATATAGGCATGCTAGGGTTTGCAGTGCAAGCAAGAGAGTTGGGCACATTTTGTTAGCTGACCCATAGCCAGGTTTCCTTTAGGCTTTGTTAAGAAAGAAAAAAGTTTGACCTTTTAGCTTGTAATTTGTGTGTGCTTGCTATTAGTTGTTTGCTTGCCCATATTTTGTTCATTGTGTGCATTTTTGTGAGCGATTGTGTCCATTGGCTGAGACTGAGTGTTGGATCTCAATGCCATCACAAGGCAAAATTTCGAGTGAGATTTGACACCCATAACACTAGTCTTCTTCATTGTTTTTACATATACACATGCTATTTGATGCAAACACAGCCACTATGTATTTGATTATATGAATGTATGAATATCTACATCATACATAGTTGTTTGATTGGGTTAGGATCCCAGTAAGAGATTGAGTGGTGAGTGTTTAATTGAAAAATTAAATACACTAATCTCCTTGGGTTTAAGGGGTCGTTGTGGTGGTTGAAAATAGGTTCTCAATAGTAATTGCCATATCATTGGTGAGAAGAAATAATTGAGGTCAAATGAGGTTAAAATTGGTATTTGTCTAAGCTTAATTTTTAATAAACTATTCACACCCCTAGGCAGTGTCTTGCACTCCATGTGTTTCATCGTGAGGGAAGATCAACATAATCTCCCCCTCAATAGTGTGCATAGAATTCCCTAACAATGGTCTCATTTACCGGTGTAGGGGCCACAAAATATTTCAATCCACCCTCTTAAATCAAAATTCATAGGTATAGAAGAATTACTTACATCGTCGAAATTTACACTGCGTTCCACCATTACAAGATGGAAAACAAATTGTTGTCTGTATAGATCACGATAGTGTGGGTGATGAATGTGGCTTCTCCCATTCAATGCATGCACCCTGGCTCTCTTTTTGGCTTGTGGCGGTATTTTCCCAAAAAAAATCGAAATGATGCAAATGAAAATGAAGATCACAATCTAAAGTTGGATCACACCTAAAAACCCTCTATAACAAGTTTAGGAAATGGGACGGGCTCATGTGTGAAATGAGAGAAATGTGTTAGAATCAGCAAAAATCATGTCTTTAAACATGCTGGACTCAGAATCTGCGTAGGCAGCTCGAGTGGGTTAAAGGTGTCACTCGAGTAGTCCCTGAAGTAGTCTACTTCTACTTCCTAATCTCAACTATCTAGTTTAGTATTCCTCCTCCTTTCACTCACTTGAGTCCTAATTGTCATGCATAGATGTATGCAAACTCTAAATACAATGAAATGCACATGTATGGATGAAATAAGGTATTAAATGCAATACGATTTTCAATTTTGACAACTAGTTGCACAAAATCATTAATCATGAAAATGACTCATGTTCACATCATAATAACTAAATGCAAATGTCATCATCTTTACACATTACTCTAAGGCATACTAAAGAATTTTGAACTCAATATCCACGCATTCTAGACCAATCTTCTTTCGTTTAGTTCAATTGCACTTACACGAGTTCAAATTTGGTTCAACTCATATTAACTTATATGCAACGTGTGCGAAACCAAACTCTGACACTTGTAGGAATCCATCTAAGATTAAATCAATAATACAGCTCTACATGAATTCCTAAGGCATCATCTAACTGAATATATGACCGGTTAGTGAGTGTCCTAAGAAAAATTTATTTTTGGGCAAACCCCCTATGTTTTTTCATCCCTTCTACTCTTACGGTATCAATTAGCACGATTGTGAATTCCATACTTTATAACTATGCTTCTAAACATGTGTAGCTTGAACTCTTTGAGCTTTACATATGGGCAATGGCATTAAGTATATAGTACTCTTAATAATTCAAGTACAATTGTTACTTGGCCATTTATTTTATGCAGCCTTTTAGATTTGGCCACATTAGGCTCTTTTTCTCACAATTGGCTCTTTGACATCTTTTTAAGGGATTGGAGCTTTACTAACCTTTAGCTATGTGTTCACCTATCACAAACACTCAGTGTCTAGTAAGGTTATTAAATATTTAAACAAGCAAGACTCCTAAGTATGAAGGTAAATGATTGGTGTATACTTTGGTTTTATAAATTTTTCAAAGGAAAACACTAGCCAACACATGTTAGGGTGAAAGAAACTTTGGTTCAAGAATGAAGCACTAAGACTTATATCCACCAAGTCCTCTATCCCCTAATATGACTCATAGTAATGTATATTTTCACTTTGACTCAAAGATGAAATCATTATAAAACAAAACAAAGTGTGAATTATCATGATCAATAACAAAATAAAATATTTTTGTAATTTTTTTCAATGTTTTTAAATTTTTCATAAATCTTAAAACATAAAAATATGCACAATCAGTTTAGATTTTCTATTTCCATTTTTAAAAAAATTTTCATTATTGAAAAAAATGTGAAAAAACAAACAAACAAAAATATTTATAATGCATGAACCTAGGATGTTTGTTGTAATGCATGACTATGCACCTAGGTCCACACTCATCTCACCTATTTCTTAGGTGACTCAACCTTGTTGGAAGCACTCAGAGCATATAACTTGATTGAGGCAGTGAGCCTCTTTGAGTTCTCTCAACTCATCCAAAGTCATTTTCCCTTCCAACTTCTTTGGTTTGGTTGGGGAATGGGTTTAGGACTTATTCACTTCTCTCTAGATGTATATAAGTCAATTTTGACCTTAGGAGTAAAAGGAGCTTTGTGCACTCTAGCATGTTAGCCCTTAGAAGATGATGCATGTGTATGCTTAGACTCACTTGGCCTCTCGATAAGCTTAGAAAGATGCATGACATGATTGTTTAAAGCCTTGGAATGGTTAGCTAGATTCATGAGCTTCTTGTTCAAGTGTTCCCAATTTTGCATGCAATGTGCACTATAGTGATCATGCACTCCACAAGTGTAGCACAAAATGTTTGGCTAGGGTTTCCTTAATAACTGACTTCTTTAAGTGCATACACTTACCATTTCTAGCCTTAGGTGGGCTTGTATTAACTCTTGGGGTGGTGGGTTGGAATTGCCCTTCATAAACATGGTCTTCGGAGATGTGGTGGTGATGTGTTCACTAGTGTATCCTAAGCCCCACTTGTCACCAACGCTTTTCCCTATAGACCACATTTTATTCAACTTTTTTGAAGTTAGGGGAAGTCTCTTAGAGAGTTCATCCGATTCATGAAGGTCTTTATCTAATTTTATCACTTTTGAGTCAAGATGCTTTTTCGTCTCAATTAGTTCATGACACGCTCTTTCAAGGAAGCTTACTTTGTCTTGTAGAAACTTCATCTCTTCCTCGATCCCAAAAGTATGAGCCTTGGACTTCACTAAGTCCACATGGAATCCTTTTCGGTCTTCTTCACTTGTATTTACGCTACCACTTAAGACAAGCACTCTTTTTTGTTTTTTGAGGAATTGATTAGACAATTGATCATATGCATTTTGTATATCCTCAAAACTTTCCACATCCTCCTCATATGTAGGGACTTCTTCATTCAATCCTTCTAACACTATGGTAAGACTTGTTTCTACCTCCTCAACAAGTCCTTGGGAACCAACAAAGGCCGGAAAATTTTTCTCATCCTCTTGAGGGGAAGAGTCCTCACTCGATCTGGACTTACTACTTGTGTTGTCCACTTTACCTTCATCGCTCTCATCTTTTCTTTGGGTATGTCTTTCTTCTTTGTACTAGGACACTCCGTAGCCATGTGTAAAAAATATGACACTCAACGCATCGGATGTAAACATCTCGATCCATTTTCAAAATATTCAGAGCGTTAATAGCCTTCATAGGTACTAAATGATACAGTCTCCAAATAAGTGAGTAAACTCTAATACCAAATTGTAAATACTCCAATCCAATTCCATATACATAATGAGCTTTTGTTATTAAGCTCACACAAATAAAACATAGTTTGTGCCATTTTCACGAGGGAAGATCCATATCGGGTTTTTCCTCCTAGAACAAGAATTGGTATCAGAGCGTGGTTGCCTTGAGATCATAGACACTTGTAGGTCTAATAAAGCCCTTGTCCAATAGTTCTTGCAATTGGACCTTTAATTCTTGTAACTCTGCCGGTGCCATTGTATGTAGAGTCATAGAAATAAGCAATGTACCCATATGCAACTCAATGCTAAAGTCTACATCCCTAGGTGGAGGTAATCCTGGTAATTCATCCAAAAAACATCCTTGTACTCATACAGGACCCGAGATAAATCCAATTCCTGTCTCACCTCGTCCTCCAGGGTAAGACTCGCAAGCCAACCCATCAACTGCCTATGCCAATGGGAATCATACACGGATTAGGGCAAAGCTTCATGTTTTTCCCCCTGAAACTTGAAACAAATATTGTCCGGTGTGTGATGAGCACAAAATATTGCATATTTGACGGCCTCATTATATGCATTTTAACTCAACTTTTGCATATAAGTACTTAGAGCTAGCCAAAATTATGAATAATGTTGAATTTTTGATGTTGTAGGTAATTATAGCTTAAATTATGGATTTTAGACCTTGCAACTAAGTATGGATGTGTGGTGAAGGAATAGACACATTACATGAGGATTTGGAGGCTTAAAAGTGAAGAAATCAAGGAGGTATTGGTGCTTGGGAGCAAAGGCACTAGCACCCACACCATTTGGTTGAAGAGCCTCGGTTTTCTCCATTTTGACCATGATTCTCTTCGAATCTGAAAACATACAAAACATGAAATTTGTAGATCTAGATGTCTTCTATATTGTGTCAAAATTTCAGCTCAATCAAACAGTTAGATCAAAAGTTATGATGATTCTACGAAAATTATTTTGGAGTAGAAGCGTACCGGTATGGCGTACCGGTACGGTTCAGCCACTGGAGTTTGGGGTACCAGTACGCAGTACCGGTATACTTTGTCTGAAGTGCCTAGAATGATTGTTTTTTCATGCTCCACTTGCTTGGGGGCCCACCTACACTTCTCCCACACCTACCCTAGACAATTTCTACATGCAACCATGCCTCCCTTACACAAATTCTTGACTTTGGAAGAGAAAGCATGGGAGAGGAAGAGATAGAAGAGGGGAGTTGCAGGATAGCTTTGTCCTAGCCTATCAAAACCCATCCATTTAGCCCCTCTTGATGGGAGGCCTTTCACACACCTTAGGGGGACCAACATGCATGAAAATTGAAGTCTCTCACACTCCATATACTCAGCATTCTTTAGCATTTCAAGGGGTGGATACCTAAGTTAGGAGTAGTTCAAAGTAGAAGATGATGAATAATAATTAGAAAGCTTATGTTTTTGAATTTTCCTTTCCATTTAGTTGTGGTAAGCTTTTAATCTCTTGTAATCTTTAACTCTTGCACCTTAATGTCATTTACTTCAAGTTCATTTCAAGTTTAGTTACATGTTCTTCATTTCACCATTAATGTTTTCAAGCTTTCTTCATTTTTAGTTTTAAAATGGGTATTGTATTTCTTTCTTTATAGTTCAAGTTTTCTTGCATTAAGTTAAGTTTCATGCTCCATTTCAACATTATGTCTCTTTATTTTATGTATTTGTTTCTTGCTTTCATGAATAGCTAGATTTTAAGTTGGCTAATCCAAGGGAGACCTCCTCTTGGGCGTGCCATTTCAACTCATTTCCTTTTCTCCTTTTGGTGTACGATGGTTCGGTTTGACTGGGTTGAGAGTGGATGTGGTTGTGAGTGTTTGATATTCTATAGGCCTGGTCATGATTTATGCTTGGATCCTCACCATCTCGTCCCTAGCTTCCCACAAATCAATCATTCATTTACGCACCATTGGAGGAAGGTTTCGAGTTGATTTGGGATTCCCATTGAAATGAACCTTTTGGATTAGCCAACACTTGTTTTCTTGCATTTTCATTTACAAAAACTCCAATCACCAAAACACAAACAAAAGATTTTACATTTTTTCCTTTTTGTAACAAAATCACCCTTAACTACACTTGAACTTTCCTTCTCCGTGGAAACAACCTTGGAATACCACCAAGTAAAACACGACCCGCGAAAGTCTCCTTCTAGCTTGGGGAGCACTTTTGTACACACACACACATTTTTTGTGCATTTACACATCACAATACCATCATTTCATTTTCCCCCATCTCCTTATCCTTTGTTTTGACATCACCCATAGGAGAGTGACACTCCCCTTCATCCATAAACTATAAATGCTAAAATGTGATGTTTAGAGGTTAGAAAACTACAAGGAATTTTGTCAAGCAGTGTGTAGGCAGTTACTCTCTTTTGATCACAGTCAAGGTGGGATCCCTGCCTCTGAGGACAATCCTGCTTCATGTGACCCGGTTGGTGGCAATGGAAACATGTCCGTTGACTGGCCTGATAAGTTGTCCTAGGGTTTCCCCCGCCTTAGGAGAATCAACCTTGGCCTTGGCCTTAATGGCTATGACCCTATCCCTATGGAGCAGAAGTTCTCTGTCTATTTTTAGAACTAGAAGAAGAGGATTGACCCTCCTTCTTCTTGTCCTTAGCACCCGACTCCTGGATGCTCCTTGCGTCTTCAACCTCTCTCTCAATGGCCATAGCTGTCTCGACTATCGAGTCCAAGTCTTGTAAGAGGAGGCTCACCATTTTCCCCCAGATGGATAGTTTCAAACCATCCTCAACTTCCTCACCTTGGTCATATCCGTGGCCATGTAATCATTAGCAAAACAGGCTAATTCGGTGAAATTAGCCACATATTCCATCACCGTCATTGTCCCTTGTTTCAAATCCAAGAATTCCTAGGCCTTTGCATATCGAGTTGTCGCTGGGAAGTACTTGCCCATGAAGAGCTCCCAGAACTCTCCCCATGTCATTTCCTTCAAGTTCTTGGAGTCCTTTGCCCACTCCCACCACAGTTGGGCATCTCCCTTTAGCTAGAATGCAACTAGTCTTATCCTCGTGGCATTGGAGGTGATCTCCATTGCCCTAAAATCTTGCCAACTTGTCAGAACCAATGGTCGGCCACCATCGAATCCACCCCTCCCTTGAATATCGGAGGCTTGTGCACCTTAAACTTTTGGAGGTCACTCGTGCCTCCTTGCCCCATATTTGCACTAGCCTGTGCAATGGTAACAGCTGTCGTAACAATAACCTCTATGAAGTCTTGTTGGTCAATGACCAGTGGCGATTGATTATTGTTCCGCCCACCACCTCAACATCATTTTCCTCTACTAGCCATCTACACACATGTCAGATAGCAATAGAGCACTAATTTAGTATCCCAAAGTAGGGACCAAATTTGAAATCTCGAGATTCATCTCCTTTTCTCCCTAGTAGAGCTTATGCCACCCATTAGTAGACCTTTACACTTGGAACTATCCTATTCCCTTATTTTCTAACCCCCAAGGTTATGTTTTCTAACACTAATGTCCCTTTTCCATATACATTTTACTATTTATATCATTCACATAACATATAACACATAACATGTATCATATTAAAGCACATAGCATGAAATGCACAATGAATGCAATGGTCTAGACCTATGCCCCATCAAGCCCTAGGTAATTCGTTTACCTAGGCTCTAGTACCAAGCTGTGATGCCTCTAAAACTGGGGATCCTTTATTAACCGTTGACCACCCGTCAACCCACAAAAGTACCCATGATTGGTGCACAACCCGACATCACGTCAATAGTATCCCCTTAACTGGGATCATAACCCACACATGTAACCCGTGTATATTTTACCATTTTGTAAAATTCGGGTAAATTTAGATTTTTTCAAAAAAAATAAAGAAAGGGCAAAATAGTAATTTGCCACTATAATGTGTATTTACAATACTCATGTTGTAGACCTCGAATGAGGAAATAGAGTTCGCCGTTGGGTTCATATTGCAAAATCTAGTCACCATGTCAAATTTCATCAAATTTCGAGATAGTCAGATTTTTACACGTCATTTGAGGTGACTGCGTGGCAAATGACATTTTAAAGGTCCCCAAAAACGAATTTTATAAAAATTCCTTAAAATTAATCTAAATTTCAAATAAAATTAATTTAAACTTAATCTGAGATATAATGAATCGTTTCGGGACGAAAAATAGATCCGAAAGTTAGAAATATACGGTGCAATTTGGACCGCACATTAAGGGGGTATAAATAGGGGCAAATATCTAAAAAATCAGATATTTCTCACCATTTTTTAGTCTTGTTTGGCCGGCCATAGAGAGAAAAGAGAGAGAAGAGAGAAAGCTTTGATCTTCAAGCTTCTTCTTTCGATCCAAGAAGTTCCGTCGCTCGGATCAACTCGAATCAAGAGTTAAAGTCGATCACTAAGTACCAAGAAAAGTGGATTTCACAGAGGAACCAAAAAAAAGATTTTGGAGAAATCAAGTTCTTGGGCTATTGTTGAAGTTTTTGGAAGTTCTATCATTTCCTTCACGCTACAAGAGGTAGGGTCCTTCCTACTTCGATTTTATTCCTCTCATTTGGGGCTGTTCATGGGCCAGTTTAGGGGCTGAAGTTACGGACTGCTAGGGACTGTTTAGGGATGAAATTATGGACTGTTTTGGGGTAGAAATTAGGGACTATTCTGGGATGAAATAATGGACTTTTTTTGGACTGTTTTAGTGGCTGAAATGGGGTTACATGTAAGGCTATCCAAATGGACTGTTTTAAGGCCATTTTACAGACTATTTTTAGGCCATTTTACAGACTGTTTTTAGGCCATTTTACTA